CCGGCCCTCGCGCTCCCGGGCCCGATTCCGCCGGCGCCGGTGGCCCAGATACCGCGAGGCGCCCCCGAGGATCCGGAGGGCGCCGGGCCAGTAGCACAGGAGCCGGCACCTCAGGAGCAGCCGGAGGCCGCGCCCAACCACTCAGCGCTGAGCCGGGCCAGCCTCGAGCTCCTGACGTTCTACCTCGACGACGGGGTAACGGGCGGGGAACTCGACTCGATCGCGCGATGGCTGTGCGAGTTCGAGCGGCGAGCCGCAGCAGTCGGTCTGAGCCTCAATAGGGGCAAGTGCAGACTGGCGATTGCCCCGGGTGCCGAGGTACCGGCGGGCCTAGACGGCATCGAGACGTGCTCCCTCGACGAGATCGAGCACCTGGGTGTGCCGTGCGGATCGCCGGAGAAGATCCGCGCGTTCGTTGAGCGGGTGGCACAGGGCGCCGAGAGGAAGCTGAGGGTGATCGCGTCCCTACCTGACGCGCACGTGGCGCTCACGCTGACGAAGTTCTGTGCCGGCTTCGTTGGAGTGGTGCACCTCATGCGCGCGACAGGGCCCGTCTTCGACTACGCGGGCATCGACCGCGTCACCCAGTCCTGTCTCGCGACGATCACCGGGATCGAAACCGATGACGCGTCGTGGACACAGGCGTCACTACCCGTCAGGATGGGCGGCCTCGGCCTCCACAGCTGTGCGGACGTGAGCGGGATTGCCCACATCGCCGCGGCGCTGGACGGGGGGCCGCATCTCCCCGCCCTCGTGGCCCCGGCCCTGCTGCCACACCTCACGTGGCAGCAGGACGACACCGTCCAAGCGTCCCTCGTCGACCCGCGCCTTGCAACCTATGAATCCGTCCTGGAGAAGATCCAGGACGTCATGCAGGCACGAGCCGAGTACGAGGGGCGAGGACAGAAGGCATGGTCGTCCGCCTTGGCCACCGAGAAGAGGAAGAACCTTCTCGAGTCGCTGACGGAGGAGCTCGGCCACTCCGGCCAACTGCAGGGTCAGGCCCTGACCCGGGCTCAAGACCGGATCCGGGCGCGGATCCAAAGCGGCTCCGGCAAGCACGCTTCGGCGTGGTTGTACGGCAACCCTGAGGCGGATACCACAATGTGGTTGTCTCCGGCCGAGCTGGCGGTGGCAGTCCGGCTTCGGTTGGGGCTTCCAATTGCGGCCGCGCCGGGGGAGTGCCGCCTTTGCGGGCACGGTGCGACCGACGTCAACGGATCGCACGCCCAGACGTGTTTCGGCAGCGGCCGCCGAACGCGCCTTCACAACGCGCTGCGTGACATCGTCGCCGACTTCGCTCGACGAGGACTGCTCGGTCCTTCCATCGAGCGAGCCGTGTTCGCTAACGCGCGGCGCAAGCGCCCGGACATCAGCTACGTCCGGGATGGCACCACCGTCCTACTTGACGTCGCTGTCACGTACCCCCTACAACTCTCGCAGCCGCACTACGCAGCCCGGGCGGCGGCGGAGCCAGGGGGCGCAGCAGCCGCGTACGCTGTAGCCGTCAAGGAGCGTGTCTACAACGCAATCATTGCCAATGAGCCAGACCCGCGGGAATGGAAGGCGGTGCCGCTAGTTGTAGACACGTTCGGGGCCTGGTGCCCAGGAGCAATCACGGAGCTGCGGCACATTGCCCGCGCCAACGCCCTCCGTGAAGACCGGACCGTTTCGGCCGCCTGCCAGGACCTCTTCCACCGCTTGAGCTTTTCTATAGCCCGAGGGGTGGCAAGGATCGTCATTGCATCTGGTGGGGCGCGACCGGACGAAGCGGATCCACCCTGATGCAGGGGGTAGAGTCACTGCATCGCGGGTTTTTTTACCGGGTCGGACCTGTTAGCAGTCACGCGCAGGCCAGTCCCGTGTCGCTGTGAGACAGGCGTTCACAGTGTGCTGAAGAAGCATTTCTTTGGACTACCGCTCCGGAAGCAACCGGATACCGGCAGCCCCGCTGTACCAACATGGCAAGTACAGTGTCCCGCGCTCCAAAAAAAAAAAAAAAAAAAAAACGCTAACCCAAACAACTTTCGCCGGTAGAAACCTTGCCTGAAGAAATCAACTGCCGGCGGGTAGGCTAGTCTGACACTAGTTGTCGTCGGGAAAAAAAAAAAAAAAAAAAGAACTCAATGCCCAACCTCACAGACGACCCTGCCGCGAAGTACCTCCCGCGCCGTCCACGCCGAAACGTGTCTCGACGCCCGCAATGCAGCGGCGGAGCATGCCGCCCAGTCGGCCTTGTTCGTCCTCTCCCTCTCCGTCCCCGGCTCGCCGCACCCCGACGACGAACCGTCAGACCCCGCCGCGCCTGCTGAGAAGCAGGCCCCCCCCGGGGCCCCGGCCTCAGGGGGCGGCGAAGCGGCGGAAGAAACGAGCGGCGAATCCTGCGATCGAAAAGCCGCCGAATCCCGCGCCGCGGCCGCAAACGGCGGCGCTCCAAAAAGCGACGAACCCGATGTTCAAAAAGGCGACGATCCCTGTGGTCTGAAAGGCGCCGAAGAATCAGGCGTTCAAAAAAGTGGCGGAGCGTCCGAAACCCCAAAAAGCGGCGAAGAACCAGGCGTTCGAAAAAGCAGCGAATCCGGAGCTCCAACAAGCACCGCCGAAGAAGAACCAGGTGTTCAAAAAGGTGACGAGCCGTCCGGCGTCCAAAAAAGCGACGAAACCCCCGCCGGCGTTCAAAACAACGGCGGATCCGGTGCTCAAAAAAGCGGCGGAAAATCCGGCGGCGTGCTTCCCAACGGCGCCGCGGCCGTCTTGGAGGCGCCCGCGGCGGTGCTCGGCGGCGCGTGCGACAGATGGTGGGGCCACGCGCTCAACGTCGGCGTGCTGGGCGGCGGCCAGCAGCTGGTCCTCGCCGGTGACGCCGCCGTCGGCGCTGACTCGCTCGCCGTGTCGTGGCTGGCGGGGGAGCTTGCGTCCCGCTGGCCCGGCTTCACCGCGGGAGACGACACGAAATCAGACGACCTCGAACAGCCGGCCGACAGCCCCCGCGCGGACGCCCTCGCGCCGGAGCCCGAAACGCCGCTCAACGCGTCGGCATCCGCGGCGCAGCTGCGCAAGGCCGCCGCCGCAGACCGAGCGGGGTCCGCGAGCAAGCGCCGGCTCACCCAAAAAAAAGTCAGCGTCACCCATGCCCCGCCCACCCCGACCGCGAATCAGCAGCAGGCGTCCACTCCGACCGCGCAGGAGCAGCTGCAGCTGCAGCAGCAGCAGGACCAGCAGCAGCAGCAGCAGCAGCAGCAGCACTCCGCCCTCTCCCGGCCGCTGCCGGAGCTCGGTCGGTTCGTCGACAAGCCGACGGGGCTCCGCCCCTTGCGGCACCACCCGGGCGCTGCGACGCGCCCGCTTTTCGCGGCTGAATTCGCTGGCAGCCGGCAGCGGTGGCGTACCGCTGCGGCCGACGCCGGCGCGTGCACAACCACCCTGCGGTGTCCCACCGCAGGGTTGCGGCGTTGCGGGGTGACGGTAGACGCGTTCGTGCAGGTCGTGGGGGTCCTCGCGTACTGGGCGCTGGCGGCGCGGCTGCCGCATGCGACGCACTTCGTGAGTTTGCACCACTTCCGGGAAGGGAGGGACGACGGCGGCTGCGTCCCGGCGATGCAAGCGGCGGCGCGAGCGTTCGTGCGCGGGTTCGACGGTAACCGGCTGGAGGCCTGCGCCCTGCAGGACCTGCTCGTCGCCGCCTGCGACGAGGCGGCCGCCCTCCGGCACCACGCGGCCGAAGGCCGCGTGGTGCCGGCCGCAGCGCTGGAGGGCCACCGGCCGCAGTACACGGCGGGCGCGGCGCACGTGCCGCCGCCGCGGCTCGGCGCGGCAGCCGCCGCCGCCGCCGCCGGGCAGCCCGCCGCGGCGGCGCTGCCGTACCGCGTGTACGCCAACCCGGGCGGCGGCGCGCCGCTGCACTTCTCGTACCAAGCGCGCGACGGCGTGCCCGGTGTGACCGTCTCGTTCTCGTGGCTGCGGAAGGACTGCGCGGCGTTCCCGGCGTGCTTCGAAGCGGTGTGCCCCCTTTTTTGTGTTAAGAACAGATAAAGGGGGGAAGGGGGGTCGAATAATAACAGTTATTTGACACACGTCGCAGGGAATACGTTGCATTCCAAAAGAAACAAGGCCGGTCCAGAATACCGATGAGAACCAAGGTATTTCCACCGAAATCCCCTGTTTCCACCCGCTTTGCGGGTGTGGCACATGCCCTTTTAGAACCTCCCGATTTAACTCCAGCTCAGAGGCTAGAGTTCACCGTGCAGTTATTTGACACACGTCTGGTTGTCTAAAAACACTACCACTACTTGATCCTGCTACTGTTCGGCTACCCGGAACGTTTTTTAGTATTCGACAAATCGAATAATAACTCGGGTGTTATTATTCGACCCCCCCCCCCCCCCCCACAACCAGACTCACACCGCAGTCCTGTCTGCAGACACTCAGGTTCCACGCTGATGATGGTCCGCCTTATGTGTCCGTGGCTTAAAGGACCGAAACACGGCGCGGACGGGACCAGTGCGGTGTTGAGCACATACCCATTCCAAGCACGTTCTTGCAATCCCCCCATTCCAGTAGGGTACTTCGCGTAACGCGACTTGCTGCCCTCCGCACGCAGGATTACTTCCTCGCACTCTTTTCCTTTTGGTACTTCAACCATTGGTGCTGCACACGGCAACCCCATGTCCACTGTGCTCTGCGGAGTTTACTTCGCAGATTGCCACCGTAAAAAGAAGACAAGTCAGTGCTGCCTAGCGAGTCGCAGTCACAATCAGGGCGAGTGCCCTGAGTTTTTTAACTGATTGCTCAGACACGGTTGTAGGGGCCTTCTCCCCGTGACGGATTCGCCTGTGCTCTAGTAGCACGGGTGGTCCTGGCTGTGACGAGCTACGAACAGCCGCCTGACAAACCAGACTCACACCGCAGTCCTGTCTGCAGACACTCAGGTTCCACGCTGATGATGGTCCGCCTTATGTGTCCGTGGCTTAAAGGACCGAAACACGGCGCGGACGGGACCAGTGCGGTGTTGAGCACATACCCATTCCAAGCACGTTCTTGCAACCCCCCCCCTTTACTACACTTGGTCTTAGCCAAAAGACCGAGAAGGTATGCCAGAATCAGGAGAAAGCAAAAGCAGATTGTGGAACATCAAGCGCGGATGATGCATGCTGAAGACAGGAAACAAGAAAAAGGGTGGCCCAGGGGGCATTGACCCAGGGCAGAACACAGATGTTGATTGCCGCAAACCCGCAAATCCAACCAACAATGCATTGTTGGTACTAAAAATTAGTAGTTGACAGCGTACCGGGTTCTGGCTTAGAGGCGTTCGGCCATACACACGGCGAAGTGAGTCAAAGAGGGTGCGCCCGAGTCCTGCAGGACTTCTTTCAGGAATTGCACTGCGGAGGTGATTCTTCTTTGTTTTCGCATTCTGCGGCCATTCTTCCAGGCTAAACGAGCACCCGCCACTTTTTCTGTGTGGATTGTCGGAGCGTTTTTGGGGCCACTGTGCCACCACCAGCTTTGCCGGATCTCGCACCCACTTGTCCGATAGAAAATAGATGCTGTATTCTACTCTCTTCCTCGTTGATCGCCACTCAACCCGCAGAGTTACTCGTCGTGCGTCGATCTCATTGAGTTCACGAGCAACAAGCGCGTCAAGGTTGCTAGTCGCTAGAGGTCGTAGACCGAGCAGCCTTCCGCGTGGACGAAGTCCAAGCCGGGTCCATGCCTTCGAGGCCGAAGTCTGTCCGCTAGCCGCACTCCTGCATTCTACCGTTTCTACGGGGGACTTGCTCTCAGTGCAAGCTGAGCTTGTGTCGTTGCGAGGATGTTGATCAAGGTGCTTCCGGAGCCGGCAGGTACCTATATATTCAGGCTAGACGCACCACCAACACTAAGGTGGCCAATAATGCCCTCTGTATGTTACATTCCAGTGCCATTTCGGCCAAGAACCAACACGCAGAGACCCTCTGTGTATGTTACACATGCCTTGCGGGCGCCCGTCAAAGCTGACCAGCAGATGCTGAGGACGATCATATCCTGTGGCGAGTCGATCTATCGAGGAGCACCTTCGAGTTCTGCACGCTCAGAAGTAGATTGCCCCTTCCATCTCCTCGCATCGTACGGCCGGCGGGCATTGCAAGAACCCCGAGCGGGACTCTTGCCACCTAGCCCACCAGTTCTTTGCCAGAACCTTCCACTGCAGTGCAACTGAGCACCGCCTTCTGTTCCCACACACTGTGTAAGTTAGCGCAGCAAAGTTGATCTGTCTCTTTCGCTCTCTCTCGGAAAAGGTCGCGTTGGCAGAAACGGTGAAGATCATAACTGTCGCAGGGTTGATGAAATGAAAGCGAGCGTTTGGGGCAGGCCCTGTTTATTAGATTCACGGTTAAACGAAGCTAGCGCGCAAGGTTTGCCTGATCTGTCGCATCTACTTTCCGATACCAAATAGATGCTCTATTCTAACTCTCTCTTCCTCTCTACGACATAGCAACCGTGGCTTCAGGTCATTTCGTCAGGTGTTGCTATGTCCTGCCAGGCTGACAACCGGGGAGCACCCTTCCGCGACGATGCTTTGTGCTGAACGCGAAGCGTCTGCAAGGTGCCGCCATGGTTTACTCTGTGCCAACGCTACTCTTTCAATAACGCACGTATAAAAGGTGTCACGGGATAAGCCGGCAACGGCTTATCACGTGGGCTGCCCTGAGATTACCCCCTCAGGTGACACTTTATCTGTAGCCATACTTCAACTCTTTGGCCAGCCTCCTCGCAAGCACAGTAGTCGAACCAGCGAGCTTCGAGGCGGATCTTGTTCCTGAGTGGGTTTACCATAGGGGCTGGGCGGGCGGAAGACTGTAAGGTGATATAGCCAAATCCCTTGAAAACTGTGGAGGGTTGGGTCGGGGGGCTGGTTCAATCGAGCCCTCATTCAAGGGGGGGACTGAGCTGTGGGGTAGGATCACTCTGCTCTACCGTGCAATATCAGTGCATGCATAGGGTAGAGTTGGGTCGGGGGGCTGGTTCAATCAAGCCCTCATTCAAGGGGGGGACTGAGCTGTGGGGTAGGATCACTCTGCTCTACCGTGCAACATCAGTGCATGCATAGGGTAGAGTTGGGTCGGGGGGCTGGTTCAATCAAGCCCTCATTCAAGGGGGGGACTGAGCTGTGGGGTAGGATCACTCTGCTCTACCGTGCAACATCAGTGCATGCATAGGGTAGAGTTGGGTCGGGGGGCTGGTTCAATCAAGCCCTCATTCAAGGGGGGGACTGAGCTGTGGGGTAGGATCACTCTGCTCTACCGTGCAACATCAGTGCATGCATAGGGTAGAGTTGGGTCGGGGGGCTGGTTCAATCAAGCCCTCATTCAAGGGGGGGACTGAGCTGTGGGGTAGGATCACTCTGCTCTACCGTGCAATATCAGTGCATGCATAGGGTAGGGTTGGGTCGGGGGGCTGGTTCAATCAAGCTCTCATTCAAGGGGGGGACTGAGCTGTGGGGTAGGGGGCACCCTGCTGGGAAAGATGTGCCCCTCTGCGCTCGAGTTGTTTCTGACCATCCGCGGGCTGAGAGTGCACGCCGTCTGTTTGAACGGGTGGTACACTGAGCCGGTCCGTCCCTATCTCTTGAACCTGCATCGAAGTGCCTGCCGCTGTTTATCACAGTGAATCACGGTCCACCACGGTCTATCAGGTCCATCCCTAGTCCCTAGAGCTGCATCGAATTGCCCGGTGCTGTATTCTTCGGTCTATCACAGTCTATCAAGAGGGGATGGACCGGCTCATCCACGGGGGCGAAAGGGCACTGCAAGGGAGACGCGGAAGCGTCCGCCCTGCTGCGCCTCCTGGTCAGCGGGCTGCAGGACGAGGCCGGGGCTTTTCCCGCTGGCCCACCGCTGGCTGCACACCTGTAAAAGGCGCAAGCGCCCACGCGGACCAGGCAGGGTGTTTTCGCTGAGACCCAACCGGAGTTTGTACGATCTCTGGTCTTAGGCAGAGCACTTCGCTCTTGCAGGTTTGATGCGAGCATCAAGTCTTCATCGATGCAAAATATAACAAGCTGCCTATAGAGGGGGACTGAGTTGTGGGGTAGGGGCACCCTGCTGTACCGTGAAAACACCAGGGGGGAGGGGGAAAGATGTGCCCCTCTGCGCTCGAGATGTTTCTGTCCATCCGCGGGCTGAGCAGAGTTCACGCGGTCCGTTTGAACGGGTGGTACACGGGGGCGAAAGGGCACTGCAAGGGAGACGCGGAAGCGTCCGCCCTGCTGCGCCTCCTGGTCAGCGGGCTGCAGGACGAGGGTGGGGCTTTCCCGCTGGTCCACCGCTGGCTGCACACTTTCGTGAAGGGCGGCCGGGCCCAAGCGCCACACGCGGGCCAGGCGGGGTGCCCGGACGTCGTGGAAGGCTTGCGGGCGCACCCCTTCTGGGACCCCAGCGACATCGGGGTCTCCCCCGAAGAGATCGCCGGCGCGAAAGCGGCGACAGAGCAGGAGCTGCTCAGCCGGAAAGGGAGAATCGAAGGCTTCCAGCCGTACAGGAACCCCACGGAGCAGGCCAGAGCGTCGGCGGGGGAGGACAGCCTGGGGGTCAAAGCCACCACGGCTGGCCACTGGAACGTGTCGTACGTCGAACTCCACGGGGCAGAATCAGCTGCCGGGGCCGACTGGAGCTCTCTGTTGAGCGAGGGGGTCCAAGGCAGCCCCCGCCCGCGGCTTTTCAAGCACCGGTTGGCGCGTCCGTTTGGGCACACGCTGGTGTCTTGCTTAGCGCCGCACTCTGACATAGTGCCGCACAGGGGGCCGACCAACAAGAAGCTTCGGTTGTACATCCCGGTCGCGGGGTGCTCGGGCGACTGCGGGCTGGTGGTCAACGGGGAGACCCGGGTTCTGCAGGACGGCGCGCCGGAAGCGATCGTCTTCGACGACAGCTTCCTGCACCACGCGTACAACCGCAGCGGCACGTCGCGCTTCGTGCTGATCACCGACTTCTGGCACCCGGACTTCACCCCCCAAGAAGTCGCGCTCCTCTCGCTGATGCACGCCGCCTTCGAGAGGCAGCTACAGCACCCGTCCGCGCCGGCCTCCGGCAATCCGTACCGGACCATTGCGGAGGCGAGGACCGCTGCTCCGAGCCTCGTTGATGTCAACCACCTGTGGTCTGGCTTGTGACGCATCACCCCCTGGTGGTCAACGGTGAGACCCGGGTTCTGCAGGAGGGTGCGCCGGAAGCGATCGTCTTCGACGACAGCTTCTTCCTGCACCACGCGTGCAACATCACCGACTGCTGGCAACCCGGACTTCACCCCCCAAGAAGTCGCGCTCCTGTTGCTGACGCACGCCGCCTTCGAGAGGCAGCTACAGCACCCGTCCGCACCGGCCGCCGGCAATCCGTACTGGACCATTGCGAAGGCAAGGATCGCTGCTCCGAGCCTCGTTGATGTCAACCACCTGTGGTCTGGCTTGTGGCGCATCACCTCTTGTGTTTCTGGCGCTCCGCGCTGCCACGTGCTCGGTCCCCGAAGGTCGAAGTCGAACTGCCAGCATCAGCGCAATCCGGACCGTACCATGACAGTGGCGAGAACCGCTGCTTCGAACCGTGCTGATATCAACCAGCTGCGGTCTGGCTTGTGGCGCGCGGGTATTCCGTGCAGACTTCGAGTCCTGAGTATTTGGACCCTGAAAGGTTTATTGAACTGCATAGGGCACGGCCAGCTGCCGTGTCGACCCTATCAACTGGAGCCTAGCGTAATCTGTACCGCACCATTGCAGAAGCGAGAAATGCTGCATCTGATTGACACTGCGTTGCAACAGCACAAGCATGCTGAAGTGGTGGTATTCTGTACTTCTCTCGGGTCGCCACTGCCAGCACAGACTTGCATGAGATCAGTAGAGTGGAGGTGCCATGAAGGCAGGCAAGCACCGTAAGATTTGCAAGGAAGAGGCTCCGCGTCACGAACAGCTCACCGCGATCCCCAGTAACCATTGTGTGCATGCAACCAGCGAGGGACGGCGGCTTCTTTGCGAATCTTACAGTGCCTGTCTGCCTTTCATGACACCTCCACTCTACTGATCTCATGCAAATCTGTACAAGCAGCGGCGATCCGCTTGCG